CCTCCGGTAATTCCAAGTTTCTGAGCTTCTGGATGTTTGCTTGGCAGTTGTATAACACGAATACGCTTGTCGAATGCAAAAGCTATCATTTCCTATAAAACGCTAATTATTAACCAAAAAATGACGTATTTTTAAAAAAATTTTTTCGATCTCGGTACGCAAATACTTGAATAATTGAATACACAAAAGGTACTTAAAAATAAGCATCGAAGAATGCCTTACCGCCCAAGCAGTTCTCGCGGGATAATCCTCAACGATTACTGCTAGTAGCGCTGTATCGGCTGGTGCTCCTTGCCAAATGCTGGGTATCGTAACCGTACTGAAAATTCAACCAGAGTATTCAGTCAAATTCCAAAAGCATCAACAAATATATAGAATTTTAGCAATAATTTATGAACATGAAAAATAAAGGAAAGGAATGCTTTCTATTCGAATAATTCAGGCATCGGGCATTATTCAAAAAATATCATTGAAGTTTTGCTTTTAGGCCGATGATATTGGAAAACATCCGAAATCTTTATAAAATATCTACTGACAAAATTAATTTACTGTCAATTCATACTTAATATTCTTTCTACAGCAGATATTCCAACGTACTTCTCTCTTTGCTGACATGTATTTACAAGGCTTGTAAAAAAAGCATCTGTGAGGAAACAAAGGATCACCCGAGCAGCTTTCGAAGACATGTTATTCACGTAGACTAACCGGTGTACGACTAAAAATCGAGGGACCAAGCATAGCTGCGCCTAGTGTGTGGGAGAATTCCAATAAAACCGCATCAAGGGGTCTCCAGCTCGGATGGCCCTACTGTTTTTGATATCCTCTTACGGGCTCCGAAGGGATGGTCTCAACAGTACTGGTGATATTTCTCTCGTTATTAAATCGATCTTTCTTTTTTTTCTTGTCTGCGAAAAACAAATGTACGTGGCTTACAGGAAGCTTTTGTTACTATTTCTTATGTTAACTTGAAGAGCTATTTCTTTTCCAGACCCAACTGCAAGCTGATTTTCAGGATTTCCTTATAATTACTCAAAGATCAACACTTTCTCTTCCTAGGACAGTGGTTTCGAAGAAAAATTATTCAAGAGTCGCAAAAATAAATCATTCTGCTCGCACCAAAAAAAAAAAAAAAACAATGAAAATGAAAGAGCTTACATATCGGTGGGCTCAAAAACAGGCCACTCTTTGGGTTTCTGCTGTGTCCAATCATTTTGCACCAGCTGAGCAATATCCAGCGGTACCGTATCTACCTTGTATTTATTACCCGCATAGTTTGTAGCATCATTCTTGCTCTTTGACATGTATTTAAAATACTGCAAAAATTTGATAAAGAAATCAAAAATTATCGCAAGGACATCAATACTAATTTACTGCTTAAAACGTGTTTTTATTTTCTAGAACCAAGATAACAAGGCCTCAAAACCCGAAATTTTAAGTTTTTCAACTTGCAGAAAAAGCATCTAATCCATGCTTATGCAAATCAGTCTTCTCTCTTATTTCTTTTTGTCTTGAAAAATTCTCATTTTCATTCGAACAGAATAAATTGCTCCTGCGTCTGAACTACTCTCGTTAATAAATTCTCTCCACCTCCTTCATCTATGATCCTTTATTTCAGCTTTTGAAAATCCAATTTCAAAACACTAAGAAGGATTTTCTGACATAGTTTAATCTAACAATTTTTTGAAAACCAAAAAATTTTGGGAGCAATCCCTAAAAATTATCAAAACCGCATGAAATGCCAGTATGGAGTTTCGATGTTGCTGGGATGATTCTGCACGCTAAATCTGTCTGTCCCAGGATTTTTGCGCAAATTCCCACTTTTTATTTAGCTTGCTTCAGTAACTATGCAAGTGAGAAAGCTTCGGCTATATTTTATGCACATCACTGAGCTGGAGCTGAAATAAAGGATCATAGATGAAGGAGTGGAGAGAATTTATTAACGAGAATAGTTCAGACGAAGGAGCAATTTATTCTGTCCGAATGAAAATGAGAATTTTTTAAAACAAAAAAA